TCCTGGGGTTTGCAGGCAGGTCCTGCACTCAGGTGCCTGGTGAAAGCAGATTAACCTTTTCATTCCTCACAAAGCAACTGAGCAAGGGGGAGAACCCCGCGTCTCTCCCTCACTCCCCCTTCCCTGGTGGGAAGACGTCCTGCCAGCACCAACTGCCTGCTTTTGGAGTCGTCCAGCCTTCCCTCACACTTCAGTTGAAGGTACGGTACAAATGAGCTTCCAGTGCAGGTATCCTGGGCTGAAGTCCTGCTGCAGGGTTCTCTTGGTTTCTTCCTAGCATACTTTCATCTAAACATTGACTGAAAAAATGGAGGCTGTGTTAACCAAGTTGCTGGCTAAAATAAGCTGCTCGACATCAGCAAGAGCACTCCCCATGCACAGCCCATCTCCCTGAAGTCCTTTTACACCTGTGTAGTCCTAGGAGTTTGCTGCACATGCATCATGTTGCAATGTGGACATCTGTCCACTCCCGTGCTCCCAGAGACCATTTAATTTTGAGTAAGCCAGCAGAGTAACGTGGCTGCCATCAGTCACATTAATTTTGGTGTGATTTACACTGAAATGTATCACATAGAAGCTTCTGGGTCACCCAGGTATCTTGTTGATGCAAGTGCTGCTGAATGAGGGGAGCAGAAGAGTTTTCCTTGTTACTGGCACGGAGAAAACATACCTCTCAGTAATGCTTGCTGCAGTGAAGGAAGGAATCTGATTTTCATAACTGGTCTTGGCCCTGCTCTTTGTTCTGCTTTGCATTTGCAAGGGATTGCTGGGGACCTCAGGTGACCTCTTCACTGTGAGAAGAGCAATACATGCGGTCAAAGGAGATGGGTGGGAGGAGTAAAAGGAGGTCAGCCCGGGCTTTACCGTGTCCTTGCGCACGGGGTTTTCGGTGCCACGTGACAACGTCCCTAATAAACGCTGGTGGTTCCCCTCGTGTGGCGGCAGGGATGCTGCACGCACCTGCAGCGAATGGTTAGCGTAACAGCTCTGAAGGCTGCTCTGCAGCAAGCACAGGGCTATTGTCATGGCAAAAAAACCCTCCTGGTTTTTTACCTTTTACTGCATGAAAAGTCAGCAACTCCATCAGGCCGCGTTATTCAGTGAGTCACGTTGAGCTTGAAAAACAGCTGTTTCAAACAAAAAAAAAAAAAAAAAAAAAAAAAAAAAAAAAGAAAAATACCTTCCTGGTAGTTATATTGCTCAGGCTTCAACCTTTGTGTCAGGACAGGTTCAAACAAAAACAATGTCCTTTGGGCAGGTCTCCAGATTTCAGGTGTGCCTTCCTCCCCATCCAAGCCACTTCTCACACCTCTCCCATGCCCAGGGAGCAAGTTCCCCGGAGAGCGGGAAGAGGAGCAAGCCCAGACATCGGAGCCGTTGGGGGAAAGGTGGGTACCCCAGGTGCTCGATCATGGCAGCGGGGCTTGGGCTACTGGGAGTCTTGGGAGTCTTGGGTGCCTCCAAGGGCTTAAAGCCCCAACGGCACGGGGTTGTGCTTCAGGTCCGGCAGCACTGAGCCCGTGCCAGCGGCTCTGCTTCAGTGACGGGATCTGCCTCTGCTTGTTTTCTGCCTTTTTAAGATAATCCTTGTTTAAATTTCTGCAGGCCCTTAGGCTAGCTGGACCTTGGCAGCACACTGGCACTCAGTAAATCCCGATGGGCAGGACTTCGGTGTGTCTTTAGGTATGCGTAGTGCCAAGCGCCAGCCTCTCCACTGTGTTGTGACAGACGCTGTCGCATGTCTGGTCCTGCTGAACCAGGACCACTGGGATAATTCTTAACGGATGTCTGCAAACGAAAGCCGATAAATGCCATAAATACCAGCCCAAAGTGCGGCGTTGTCTGCAGCAATCCAGGACGGCATTTCTGAGGATGGTTGGCATTTTGTGATAAGCCAACACTGAGTGTTTAGTAGTAATTGTATAATTCTTGTGTCAGTGACCATTCCTTGCACTACTGAATAAAGAGCAAAATGTCTGTAATTCCTCCAACCCCCCCATCTAGAGTGTGAAAGCCTTTTTCCTACAAAGGTTGACAGAGGCAAAGATGTATGTGAAAAAGGAAGTTACCTACAGCTCCAGAGAAGTGCATCTGGTCAGAGGATTTGCTTATTTTCATTTTGATAAGTAAATTGTTATTTATTAGCTGAGCAGGGAGAGAAACCGTGGTAAACTCTCATCATCCAGGAAGTCCCAGTCTTGAAACAAGTAAGTAGACACCACTTTCCAAAATCCTTGGAGATTGTCACCACTGAGAATCACTTTGATGACTAATTTCTGCAAAAGCAGAGAACAGGAATAACATTACTTAAAAAGGTATGTTGCAACAAACAACATCTATTCCCTATTTCTTACAAAGGGTGTGTTTCTTTTAAAATGTTTTGGTACGTCTGGCTTCCTGTCCCATTTGAAACATTAGGCTAGAAAAATAATTTTAGGCTATTCAAATTACTAGTCAGAGTGGAGGGATTTCTCTGTAGCCATGAGGAAGATGGGATGCTTGCATGCTAAATTCATATTTTGGTGAATGCTCTATGTATCATCTAATGAGATATTTCTTTTTGATTTTTCTCTTGATTAAAAATGTTTGTGCTCATCTCAGGACTGGGTTAATATGCCTTGAATTCTCCATTTTTTTCCCATTCTGTCTATACAGACTAATTTCTGGTCACAAGGGAGTCCTGCTGGTCTCAGTTGTTAATCTGCTGAAAATTTGTTGTGCTCTTTGCTTTTTTAGGAGGCTTGTCTTGTGAAAAAAACAGCAGATAAATTTGGCTAATTCCCTGTCTGTCACCCAGTAGCAATGGCAAAGCTGGGAGATAAAAATGGGGGGGGAAGAGAGGGATTGGTGAATGGGCGGTGACCTGAAGATCTGACTCGGAGCACACTATTTCAAGTGTTTCCAAATGATGCATACTCGATTACTGTCTCCAGGTATCCTGCCACTGGGGGCATGTGGTTACCAATCAAGGTTTTTAAAAGTCTGTTAATAAAGTTACATACAACTGGTGCTCACACAGGCCATGGTTCACTGGGCCTGGGCACTGAGATATGCCTTGCCTGACTGGCAACAGAGGACAAAATAATCACGAAATCAGGAATCTGCTCAGAGACAAAACATATTTATTAAATTATTTTGCCTTCTAAAAAGCTGTGCATACCAGAGAAATCAGATTGGCTCTATCACCTTATGCATCACCTAGCCAGAAAATGTGCAGCTCCCAGATACCTCTGAACCCCCTTCCTTCACCCTGCTCTGCAAACCTCGGTGGCCCCTGTACCCGCAAGAACAAAACTGGCCATCTACTAAATCTGTTGCTGATCTCAGCTAACCTACTTCCTGTAATATCAGCAAATATTTCTGCTTTTGTAAATCTGTTCTTCCCTCCATAACGGGGTGCCAGCAGATCCAGGAATGCTTTGGATCTAGGAATGTGCTGGTTGGCAGGAGGAACAAAGAAATTGCTCACCCAGAAGGGCGAAACAGGACTAATGCTTTTGCCCGTTGGGGAGAAATCGCACAGAAGTCAAGGCTACAACTTTTGCATGCCATCAGAAAGGTGCCGTTGGAAGCTACTTTTAATGGCAGACATTGATATCGGTCATTAACGAGAAATGTCTTCAGTAACTAAAATAAAATCAGAGCCTGAAACACTTCTGTGGTTGCATAGTCTTTTGACAGATATTGCCCGCTGCCCAATAATGTCAGGCTCTCCCTGAACTTGACAGGGCAGCTGCTGTTCTTCCCGGCCTTCTGGAAATAGGCCAGCTATGACATGTTCCTGATATTAGTTAGCTGCAGGGCGTATTTCATTCTGCTGCTCTAGGCAATTTGATAAAGGCTCCTTCCTCCCACTCCAGAGTTAACCCGCCCAAACTGTAGCTGAACACCTAGTTGCAACAATACCACATTTGTCAGAGATTGTGCCCATTTGCTTAGCTAAAATTTGCTTAAATTGGTTGTTTCATACAGGGGGATGCTTAAATTTATTTCATCGTGTTTTCTGAGCCGACAGGAATAATGTTAGATGTGTTATCAGGAGCTGATTGCTACAGCTCTTTATGAATAAAGTTATTTTTAAGAATCATTATCCTTTTCTTGACACCAAGTGTTTATGCAGCATAAAATAAAACTTGGTCTCCACCCCTCAGAGAAAGAAGGGGAAAGTCTTCAGCTGATACCTAATTGTGGAATATAAGAAACCATGAATTTCCATTTGCACTGTTGTATTGTCCTTAACTCCAGGCCTACAGGAAAAGTTGACACTGGGTTTTTTTCCTCCCCATTTGAGACCACTGGAGCTATCCAGGCATTTCCGTGCTTTCTGACTATTTTACCTCAAGATGAAATTTTTCCTTCAGACAATTAAAGATATGGACAGCAGGCACAGTTCAGCCTTATCTTACACCAAACGGAAAGTGCATCTTCTATCCACCCCGTGCAGGGAGGTGACAGGGGTGCAGGGGATCCCTTTTCATTTGTGCTTGGGAAGGCGGCACCTGTCACTTTCTTTGCCTATTGAAAAGGCACAGTTATTACCAACTAAGTCCTACTTTTAAATCAGTTCCCTGCGCTGTCAGATGTGGAGCGGCATCTGTGAAGGGTTCCCTGCACCACGTCAGAGCGATGGTCGGTTGCTAGCTGTGACCACGTCAATGCTGCAACGGAAAGCAGACGAGAAAAATCCCACGATATATTCAGTTACGCACCCAGGGACCCGACCCCTGCGAGCAATCAACCGGAGCCCTAAAGCCTGAGATTTGGCTATCAATCACAATTGTCCTGACACAAAGCTGCCGTCATCCTTAGCGTGTGGAGGTGAAGGCAGGCGCCCCTGCCCTGCCTGAGGGCTGGCCGTGCCCCAGCACCCCAGTACCCAGGTGTGTGCGGGTCTGATGGGTATTTAGGTGTATTTTCCCCACACCATCAGCTGCCTGTGGCGGTGTGGGGGGCTGGATTTCCTACACTTGGGGAGAACGAAGGCTCCACCACATCCCGTGATGCGCAGAAGACCCGAAGTGATGCAGACAGCCCCTTTTCTTTCCTCCTTCAAGGTGCACGAAGCCGCAGCGGAGGACAGGCCTGCCTTGGTGATGGAGGAGAGGAGCCTGGGCAACACCTGGCCGGAGAGGAGCGTTCCCGCCGCGCTGGGGGGTGTCCCTCCGTCTGTGGAGCCCCTCCACGGACGCGAACACCCGAGGGAAAAGCATCCCCTGTCCTTGGTTTCGGAGTGACAGCAATTACACACCCTGTCCCCCCCCCGGGGGTAGGAGTGATCTTCCCTCAGGGAGACACGAGGGGACAGGGGACATCCCCACACCGTGTCGGGCAGGGGAAGATCAAACTCCGACGACCCAGGGATGGGGGACACCCCGGGGGACACCCGCCCCCCTGCCGGGACGGGGACAGCCCTACCGAGGGAAGGGCACCCGGGGTGGCGTGGGGACGGCCCCGGCCAGGAGAGGGGACCCGCGCCGGGCGGGCACCGTCCCGTACCTCCGGGGCAGCGGTGCCGGCGGGGCGGAGGGCGGCTCTCCGCGCCTACGGGAAGGCGG